ACCGCCGCTATTACCGGCGGCTTAACGTAGCAAAATCATCGGTTCGGCCGCCGTTAAAACCGACGGTCAGACCGCCGGCTACGCCGCCGGTAAAACCGGCGGTCCATGAACCGCCGGTTAGAATCGCCGGTAATGGGCATTTTTCCTGTAGTGTTGATCTTCATCCTTAATACACTTCTCTTGAAGTAAATCCTTACTATTCCTATCTCTTTGTTTGGCTAACTTATACATATATCTTTCTTCCTTCTTAGTATCTGATCTATTATATAAATCATTAAAAGCTAAGCTCTTTGCATCATAAATAGCTTTCTTAGATTCCTTACGAGCCTCTTTATAGCTTTCCCAATTATCAGAATTTTTATATCTAAACCAAATTTTATAACAAATCTTCTTATTTTTTTATCATTTATTGCATATTTGAATTCAACCACTAACTATTTTTACTATTAGGAGCTTTTCTCTTCGAAACTTCAAGCACAACTTTTGCAATATTCTTAATATCACAAGCCACTTTTTTCCCGCGTAATATTGACTTCCTCATGCACAGAAAAAATCTTAAGATATAAAATCTTACCTCAAAAATACTTTTGTTAATATTCTTTAAATGCCCCCATATAATCCTAAAAAATCGTTTTACTTTATTTTTTATTTTTTACCCATTTATTTTAAAATCTAAAACTAATAAAGTTGCATGATTGACTGTATAGGAAAAAATCTACACAAGAACCACTATTATCTGGTATGAGTGTGTCCAACTGTGTCACCTAACCTGACAATTTCCAGGCGAAAAACACATCCTATTGAGCACTCCTATTGAGTGATATTAGCAACTACTAATCTATCAACAGTGTTAGAGTACCATTGGTCAAACATAATAGTTAACTACTATTGAACGGATGTTGGTAGGTGATTGATGAAAATTGACAACCCTATCAATTCCTCAGACGTCTCAACTGCAATTTGTAGTTGAGAAGGTGCCTTTTAATGATTCTTAGCTGACTTATTCTTACAAGCTAGGCCAACTCAGGAGAAATTATTCTATGTGAAGACCGGACGGCAAGAACCATCCGGATTTGTTGCCCTTTAGCTTCTCTTTTGCAAATATTTAATAAAAGGGCAACAAATATGCAATGATGAATGTACTTTTGCTACCCTTTGCTGAGTATTTGCAAAAGCACAGTAAAAGAACAATAAATTTTCAATTAGTAGGATATTTGCTGCGATTTAGCTAGTCTTTTGTTGTGCTTTTGCAAATACTCACCAAAAGGGTTATGAATGCATATTTGCTGCCCTTTTGATGAGTATTTGCAAAAAACGTAACAAAAAGGCAGATAAAGCGCAACAAATCTTGACGGTTCTTGCCGTCCGGTCTCCGCACAGAATAATTTCCGAACCCATGTAGTTAGGTTCAACTCAACGACTTATCCCGTTTCATTAAATTAAGCAAGTTAATGCCCTGAGAAATTCTTTTTATAATAAGAAAAATCCAATCTAATTAGACAGGAGATTCTGTAATAAAGTACAAGTAGAACTAGTTGTGAAGTAGACCAAATAGGTTATATATGACATCAAGTATCTATCCGTACTCACCTACACCAATGCTTAGTCAAAATAAATTGGAACCACTATTTCGGCAGTAAGTCGGACACTCGACCACTCCATCAAGCAGCCATATGACTTTCAAGCAAGTCATCCCAGGAATGACCAAAGTGGATATTCTGAAACCATTTCTAATGAGTCAACTAAGTGAACCAATGCTGACTAGAAATTCACACCAACTGATTCAGCTCCATGGCCTGACCAACTACCTTGCTAAAAATTAGGGATGATAAGGGTTGATAGAGGGCACGTGCCACCCAAAATAAATTCAATGATGCTTCCACGTCACACAAACAGGACACACATCCTACATATAACCTTGAATGTTGCAGATAGCATCAGCGCATACATAAGATGTGATCCCTAATTGGGGCAAGTTTTCTAAAAGATCGAAGATCCAGTCTGTGAACCCATATTTGTGTTGACAAGTATCTCGTGGAAGGTACTTGTCATACATGCATAATGCGACTTGAAAGTTTAAAAAGGGCAAAATTAGGTTGAGCTCTTCTTTGCTAAGGAGTCTAGCTTAGGTGGAATATAAGTAAGAAATGTAGCACTTAGAGGTGAATTATGATGGAGTTTGATACTTGAATTGGCTATGTAGCAAGCAACGAAGCTAAGCAGCTTAAAGAAATACACAATCTTCCCTCTCTTTTTCCTTCCTCTGCTTGCCCATTCTTGAATAAGTCGGTTTCACTAGTTGTTTCCTCTAATCTATTCCATATGTAGCTTTAAATCTGGATGTCACAATAAGATTCATGATTTTTTATTGATTCATCAGTTTTCTTTTAGTATTTATCTTATTTTTGAAAGAAACTATTACTTGGTGTAGATTCCTAACCTTCATGCTTCTCTCTTTCTAGGTTGGAGCCGGTCTTCCTGTAATTGCTTCTATTACTCGTGTGCTTTCATCAGGAGATCCAATTTATCGTATTATTGGGAGCTTGAGTGGTACTTATATATTATTGTTGCAATTTTTTCAGCTAAAATGCTTTTATGGCATATTCAAGGCAATACAACTTTTTCTTGCATGCAAAATTTAGGTACTCTGGGTTATGTGATGAGTGAATTGGAGGATGGAAAAGTGTTTAGCTTTGTTGTTAAAGAAGCTAAACGTCTAGGATATACAGAACCAGGTTTGATTCCATTATCTTTCTAACATATTGTGGGTACGTGAGTTATAAGCTGTCAGAATTCTGTATGTGAAGTTTAATGTTCTTTTATTAATAGCTTTGAGTTTAATTCTAAGATCTCAAAGGTAGGTGTGAATTTAGTTAATCATATAATTTATACTCTTCATTTCCATGAACTCTTGTAGGGGATTGATTATATTTCTAATGAGTAAATAATCAAATTGGTTTCCAAACTATGATGTCTTCCTTTTGACTTTAGACTTCTCTTTACCAATTTGACCCACCCCTTAACTTATCAATGTAAAATTTTGATAAGTTAAGGGGTCATATTGAAGAATAAGAAACTGCTGGAAGTAAATTTGAGAACCAATTGATTTTTTTTTTCCTTTTTTTTTTTTAATTTGAAGATCTGACTTGTTTTGTAGTTCAAGAACGACAAGGTCATATCCTAGCGTAAAAACTCAAGTATGATTTGGCAGCAATTCTTCAATTTTAAGCAGTATAAAACATGGGCATGGGACATAGACGAGATAGTGCATACATTGATTTGAGCAATCTTTGGAAATATGGGAGAGCATGCCTATGAATCATACATATATACTATTTATCTTTTCATATAGATCCACTTAAATGTCACACCTTTGGTAGATTAGACATTACTCAGAGATTTCACCCTCATTTTGTGCAGACTTTATGATCTGAGTTCTGATTTCACATGGGTGCAAGTCCCTATGGTTAATTGCATCTTCTAATAACAAGAGAGAACTTTTGAGTAAGGCTAATCATTAAATAGGTCGCAATAGTTACTTAACGTATAATAACAACAATTTTAGGATTTGAATTTCTTTCGAATTTTGGAATTTATGACTTGAAATTTATCACCATATACTCAAAGTAGGCGATGGAACAATGATGATGGGCCCGATCAAGATGCCATGGTTCTGTCATCCCGTGCTGTTATGATCCCTAGTCTACTTAGTCAGAGGAGATAGTCGACCCAACCTGACAGAAAGTACCTTGTCAGCAATCATGGGTTGCGTCATCCAAGGGCACCTTATAGACCTGGGTTGGATGTTTGTCTAAGAGGTTGAATTTAAGTCAACCTTAGCTAACAGAAGGTTTTATATCATATCATGTGCACCTTATAAGTCATTATTTAAGGGTCTTTTAACCATTAGGGAACATGTGGGCTTTGGCCATGACCGTAATATAGTGGTACAATTTTTGCAGCAAAATCACCCGTTCAGAGAGCACATGCCACGTCCCTGCTGGTGAGAAATCAATTGAGAAAGAATTGTAGTAATATATTTTATAAGAAGAGCTGAAGTTATTTTTCAATTCATCTTCCTCGCCAAAATATTACAAAGTGTGAATGAATTTTAATTTTAAGTTTTTTGGTAATTAGTGTCATTGGTGAGCATACGGGCTCTGGCCATGACCGTAATATAGTGGTGCAATTTTTGCAGCAAAATCACCCGTTCAGAGGGCACATGCCACGTCCCTGCTGGTGAGAAATCAATTGAGAAAGAATTCTAGTAATATATTTTATAAGAAGAGCTGAAGTTATTTTTCAATTCATCTTCCTTGCCAAAATATTACAAAATGTGAATGAATTTTAATTTTAAGTTTTTTGGTAATAAATTTTTAAAGATTTAGACTTTTAGTAGGATTTAAGTTTAGGTATTGAATGAATGATTTTAAAGTTTTGAGTTGAATTAATGATTGTAAAGTTTTGATGGTTTTTTTAATATTAAATAGCTCTTTCTGGTTAAAATTCCCAATCAACACGGCTATCATCGAAGAATTTAAGCATTTTTAGAAAATCCGTGAATCATTCTTAGATCTCGTATTTAGGAGCTTGATATAAAGATCGGAGCACATGCGGAATATATTTTAGCATATAGATAGATTGGAGGACATGCGGAACATACTCTAAAATTGTTGCGATTATACGTAGGTAATTATTGCAACCTATTTAATGACTAGTCTTAATCAAAAGTTCTCTCTCATTATTAGGAAGGGTAATTAACTATAAGGGCTTACATATATGGGAAACCAAAACTCAGATCATAAAGTCCTCGCAAAATGAGGGTGAAATCTTTTGGGCATTGTCTTATCTAAAATCTGATATGCTTTCTGAAAATTTGCCCTGGAAACTATACTTGTTAAAACTCTTCCCGTCAACACTGGGTACAGAAGGTGATATACAACATGGGACATAATGAAGGGATTAATCTCGATTATTGAGATGAACTAGATTTATTGTATTCGACTGAGATAATGCACATAAAAATAAAACTTCCTATCATATGAATCATTTCAAAATTTAGAAATTCATGCAATAATTAATAAAGGCAAAGCTATCTGCATGTATGGTATTTTGGAAACTAAATAATAATAAAATAATTAGTATACCATAAATTTTCTTATAAACTAAATATGAAGTTGTAAGGAAAGAAAATTATAGAAATAATTTGAGAAAAACCTGTCTTGTGGGAGAAAGATGATGTGGATAGCATAATGCTGAGCAAAACAAGAGAGGAGATGGTGGAAGGGCTCAAAATTGTTGAAGGAATGAACGAAAAGGGTGAAGGTACATTCTGTGACTTTTGTTTGAAGAAGGGAGAAGGCAGGGGGAAGCTTTTCTATTAGCGGGTATGAAGGAGAGAATCAAAGAGGCAAGTAGCAAGATTTGATGCCTTAACCAATTGTGGTCTTCTTAAATTGCTACTCGAGGCAGTGAGATTCACGAAAATTCTGTGTTAATTGATGGTTGGAGACATGAGATCAAGTGATCCACATGAACGAGAGGGATAAATGTGATCGGATTTGATGATGGGACGGTCTAGTTTAATTTATTACAATAATATCTAAAATAGTATCATATATCCAAAAAAGAAAATATCTGTAAAATCCTACAACAACAACATCAAGCCTTTATCCCACTACGCGGGGTCGGCTACATGAATCCTTTTTCTCCATTGTGTCATATTAAAAGTCAAATTCTCATTTAAATCTAATAAAGAAAGGTCATTCCTAATATTTTCTAACCAAGTCTTTTTAGGTCTACTTTTCCACGCACTCTCTCAATATCAGTATTTGCTTAATATTCCTAGGTTTAAAACAAGGTTACCAAATGATAATTGATTATGAGCTCTAGTAAGAACATCTTCAATTTGAAGCTTTGTTGGAGTATAATTAACTTGGATGATTTCTTATTCAAAATTCTCCTTGATAAGTTGTCTATTAGTTTCAACATCTTTAATCCTATCATGTGCATTTGATTCTTAGCAGTGTTAATAGAGGATTGATTGTCACACCTCATTATTATAAGCTCGAATGCTCGATAGTAGAAATATGTAAATCTTCGTGAAGGAGTTTAAGACACATTCCTTTACTAATATCAAGAGTTGGGGCTCTGATTTCTGCCTTAGCACTACTACATGCAAGTGCAGACTATTTTTTGCTCCTCCACTAACTAAAGTTTTCCATATAAATGAGCATAATTCAATGTCGAATTACACTTTATTACAGATCTAGCCCAATCAACATTAGTGAAGATTTTTGAGTTAGTCCCCTTTGTAAAGGAAGTGCCTTTGTTAGGTGTGCTTTTAAGATGCCTTGGTATCATGTATACAAGATCTAGCCATTTAGGTGCTCCTTTATGAGGTCATTCATAAGTTGACTAATAACACTAACAAGAAAGTAAATATCACATCTAATTTGTGGCATGTAAATAAGTTTTCCTACTAGTCGTAGATATCTTCCTTTGTCTACTAAGATAGAATCTTTCGTAGCCCTGCATTGTTTAATAAATCCATTAGGATGTTTAAAGGTTTTCTCCTAGGCATAATATTTTTTTAGTAAGTCCAAGGTGTATTTTTGTTGTGAGATGGACATCATATTGCTTAATCTTGTTATTTTTATGCTCATGAAATATTTTAATAAATCATACTTTTTTATTTCAAATTCTTTTGCTGAGCCACCCTTTATCCTATTCATTTATTTTTCATGATTTCTTGTTAAGATAATATCATGAACATATATAATCATGGTATAAAATTTAATTTTAAATTATTTTTTGATAAATTAGAACACAATGGAGAAAAAAGATTCATGTACCTGACTCCACATGGTGGGATAAATGCTTTTTATTGTTGTTGTTTTTATAAATAAAGTGTGTTTATATTATCCTTGAGAATGTTCATGCATTTTAACCACTATGATGAATTTGTTTAATGAAGCTTTTGGTGATTATTTAAAGTCATGTGGGGATTTCTTTGTTCTAATAACCTTCTATATTACCCTAGCTCTCAAATCCTCAATGAATTGTTATAGACTTCATGTTCTAAATCCCCATTCACAAAGATTCTTACATCTTGTTGATGGAGTGGCTAATCTAAATTAATAGTAAGATAGAAATGTGGGATTAAAAATTTTGAGTTTTTGGAGCTCCAGCCTCTCCATGTATATTTGGAAAGAGTTTTAACATATTAAGTTTCAGAAAAAAATTTTGGAAAGCAGATTAGATAGAGATAAGACACTACTAAGAGATTTTGCCCTTTTATATGAGGACTCTAAGAGATTGAGTTTTGGTTTTCTATAAGTGCAAGCCCCCTATAGTTAATTGCTCCTCCTATTAAGAGAGATAACTTTCAATTTAGATTAGTCATTAGATATGCATTTAGTACCTTACGCAATAGTAGTAGCAGTTTTAGAATTTAAAATTAAAATTTAACTCATTTTCATTTAAAAGTGTATGGTGGGGGGGAATGATGACAAACCGATTCAATGTCTTATAGTTCCATCATCTAGGATTATCATGATCCCTAGTCTACTTAGTCAGAGGATGTAATCGACCCAACTTGATCGAATGATCCTTGTCATTAGCAGTCGTGGATTGCTTCGTATAAGGGTATCTTATAGACTTGAGACGAGTGTTTGTCTAAGGGATAAATTTTATTTCAACTTTAGTTAATAGAGGGCTTTGTGCTCTATGGATT